ATTCTCCTATCTATTGATGGGGAGCGCCACCTGCTGGAAACTGGGTCCAGCGTCCCATGAAGATCGTGAATAAAGCACCAACCGGGACCCCCCACACACACTCTCTTCGAGTTGTGTATAGCGAACATGACAAAACATACATATAACATAATCACTACCTTACCCTTCCCGAACCACATAAACAAACGACCTACGGGCTGCGCACCCGTGCCCTCACGGTAAGTCAATGTACGTACATATACCAACTTTCGTACATTCTCTACGCCCACATGCTCTTGTAAGATCTCAAAAATTGTCTTATAGAGGCTTGACGAAAAGAAGAGGGGTTCTAACCTGGCCTTGTGCTCAACCAACTCACTTTGGGGAGGACTTTGACTGCCATTTTTTCCTGGGGTCCCAAATGCCCTGCACGACAAAAACACAAACCTTGCAGTACGGGCCTGTTGCCTGAGTGGTACAACAAGGTCATGTCCCTGCACGGTGCGTCCATGTAACTGATTTTTTTTTTTTTTTTTTTTTTTTTTTTTTTTTGAATGACCCGATCTGAGTTCAAATAGTTCGCAGCCCTTAGGCTACGTTATAGTGGGCTTCCGCGTCTGTGTCAAGGTATCGCATTTTTGACGGCGGGCGACCAGGACGCAAAGTGGGTTCTTAGGGGGCAAAAAAAATTGGGGGACCGGTCCTTGGCAAAACTGCGGACTACCTACAGCTAGCTCTGCTAGAACCGGGAATTTTGGAAAAAGGAAGGACCGGTCCTCGAGTGGAAGTGGACCCCAAAAAGAAGTGGGGGGCGTTGGACCGGACCCCGGGTAGAAGTGGACCCCCAAAAGAAGTTAGGGCATGTGAACTGCAAAAGGGCCCTCAGGCCCAGGCATTGAGCCCCGTCTTCTCAAAACAGGGAGGTCAGGCACAACGAAATAGGCGTTTTGCAATAGGCAACTTTGACGATTTTCTGTGTTCGAACAAACATGCACAAAAAATTGAAATTTTGAGAATCCATAGATGAGGTCGTATTCTTTCCAGAAATAATAATAGAACATTTAAAAAAAAATCATTTACACTGCGAAATAATCGTCACACCGATTCGGCACATTTTCCATTTTTGCCACTCAGCCATGCCTGGGCCAATAATTAAAAAAAAATCATTCCAACTGCAAAATAGATCGCGACCGCAATTTGACCCATATTTAATTTTGCCATTCAGTCTCTCTCTCTCTCTCTCTCTCTCTCTCTCTCTCTCTCT